GCAGGAATGAAAAAACACCAGTGCAAGGATTTGAAAATTGGGAAGAACAAAACAGCCAAATAATAATTAAAAACAAAAAAAACCCACAGCCTACATGTCCCACAGAAGAGCTGCTCAAAACAGACATTTTGCTGATCAAGCCTGGCCCCTCCGAAGCCAAAGGGAGTTCTTCCATCAACTTGAATGGGCTCCATGAATACTTAACATGGAAACTAGAAAAAAGCCACAGGACACACATTGCAACCCAAACCACTGGAACCTCAAGACAGAAAAGTAGTCGTGGGACAAGTCTTACTGTCATTATTCAGGCCTGTTTTGGCCGACTGTAAGGAGCAACTGTCTCCGTGCCGTTTCAGTGGCCATCACCGGGCACACGACTGTTTTAGGAGGAGCTCTTCACCTCTTCTTCTAGCCCACTGTCTTCTTTGGTCTGACTTTTTCACCCTGCCAAGTCTGAACTTAGATTTGGATGGGGCTGTGCTGGTTTAGACATAGCCTGACTGATAAATATGTGCTAGAACATACTTTCCATTTTAAAAAGAGAGTCAGCCCTTCGTCTAGAGTCCTTGGGCCAGTCAATAATACTTAAAGCAAGCACAACATGTGGCCCAGACACGGCAAAGAGAGGAGCCACAAACTTTTTGCGATACATGAGCGTGTATGGCATCATTAACACATGCAGCAGCAGATGGAGGAAAAGAGGCCAGCCAGGCATTTCTACAGGCGAGAGGCACAAGGTGATACAATGCAGGGCAAACATGGGTTAGGGTTTGGCCATTACAGCCTGAAGAAAGAGAAAGGAAAGGGGCCTGGCTCCCAAAACACACCCAGGACAGGTCCTGGGTACTAATGTTTGGGACGGGTAGCGCGGCTGCAATGCAACTCCCAGCGCATCAGCCCCCAAACAAGCACAGGGGACAACGTCCATCGTGAACACAACACAAGTCGGGTTTCTCCATCTTTCTTACCTGCCTCCCAGGTCATCAGGAGCCACCACACACCAGAGCACCTCCGCAGGCAGCTCCCTGCTGGCTTTCTCTTTCTAAGCAAAGGAAGCAGAGGTAGACCCATGCTCAGTGCAATGCTAGTAGGTAATGGGTATATTTAATCTGCTTTACTGCATGCCTCCCAGCACCAGGGAAACCGAGTCAAGACAGCTTCTTGCTTTTCCCCACTGCCTCCCAGCAGTTGCTACTTCAGCTTTGCCTCCTCGGCAGTGACCAAGCCACAGTTCATCAGGACTGCTTCCCCTGGCATTATTATCCCCCAAAGCACTGAGGCTTATTTTGAAGGGGACTATTTCCCCCCTCATCATCATCATTTTGTCTCCCATACAATGTTCCTTTACTTTGCCCCTTGGGTACTTACCCACCAGCTCACCACATCTCAGAAGCCAGAACTGCAGAAAGGTCCAGGGCCCAAAGTCTTTCCATAAGTTGCTCATCCCAACAGACACCCAGCAGGCTTGACCCCAGCCCCTTAGAGGCATTAGGAACAAGCTAGCAGCTCTCCCAGCCCCCGTGCTGCGGGGGCCCAGCACCCAGATGGCTGCTGGAACCAGAGACTTTTGCACCCCCTAGGTACACTTCATTATCATGCACCAGGAAAAGGGAAGACTATCCCAGCCCTTTTCACGCTGTAAAGGTAGGACTAAGGTGTGTGGCTTGACCCAATGCAATTCGTTTCCCTAGCTCAAGATCTCTGCCCGACAACCTCCTTCCTCACTGCCAAATTGCCTCTAACTCCTGCTACCCACCTGTAGGCATTTTAATAATCAGAGGCAAGGGACTGCTTTATTTCCCACAGCTGGCCCAGCCCCAGCCTTGCTCTCCTGGAAGGATATGAGCAGAGCAGGCACTCCTGCACTAGCCCTAGCCAGGGTGAGGAATTAATTAACCCCTTCCTTGCAGGGCACCAAAGGGTCCTGTCTACCTTGCCACACTCACTTAAGATATTTCTTCCCTCCAGCCATTCCCAGATGAATGACGTGCTGCTCTGAAGTATTTCTGCAGAGCCCGTTTTGCAAGAAAGAGCTCCAAAGCCCACATTCAGACACCTGGGTCGTGCACCGCGGCACTCAGCAGGTATGCGAAGACCCCAAAGTACAAATCTGAGCTTCCAAACATGAGCTGGGGATGCCCAGCAAAGGTGCCCACATCTGAACGCCAAGCTTGCGATGCCGGGGCCCGCTGCCGTTTCCCACGACCTGCAGCTGCTACCATTGGTAAAAGACATCTAAACGACTTCTTGCTTCGCTGTCGGGAATGGAAAGCAAGACTCATCCCTGGTGCAACGCCGTGCAGGGCAATTCATTCCAGCTGAGCCCGACTTCAAGGGACTCAAACAAGAGGATGAATCTGACCCTCAATTTTGTTTCCCACAAAATATTACGGAGCCCCTCGACATATGGGTATTTCTTAAGGAAGTGATTTCTTGAGAACAATAGGGACTTGAAGAGACTGAAAATGTCTCTGTAGTGGTTTGGCTAGTAGAAGAAGGTTATCAAGTAATCCATGCTCAATTTGTGTCTAAAGGCGGGGGGGGGGCGGGGGAAAAACTAGTGAAGTGAACTCTGAACTATCCACCACATCGCTTTATGTGCCCAGAGTCTCCGTGTTTAATCACTGTTGTGTTTTTGCTCATCTGCGCTCAATTCATCAAGAAAAGTGGAATCCTTAATCTAAAAAACTAGGCATAAAATTTATGTATCTACTACCCCGTTTTATTGCCAAATCCTACTGTATTATGCTCCAGTTTTATGTGTACGCTAATAAAAAACATGTGTGAATTCTTACATTTTAAAACAGTTGTGCATCAGTGTGGTTTGAGTTACTGCTTTTGAAAATACAGTCTCCATGCAATGCTATCTGAAAATAGAATCTGCCCACAGTTAAACTTTAATTCTTGAGATGTGGTATAACGGCGGTTTATGATAGACAGAGCTGTGTGCGCTCCAGAGAGTTTTACTGTGGGCTCAGAGAGCACTAAAAAGTAACACACTTCTGAAAAGGCAAAGCAAATGGCATTAAAGGGAGCAATTCATTGCAGCAGCAGACACTTCCATCACCAGCAGTAAGAAAGACTTTAACCGAGGCACGACCAGCACAGGCACAAATTTACCATGTACAAAATATGTGAGCTACAGTTAAGTGCAGCAACAATCAGCTCCTGCATTTTGCCAGACGGCAAGAGAGACGTGAGCAAAGTCATGTCAGACTGCATACGGGTAAAAGAAATAGAGTAATGCATTGGGATACTGGAAACCGTGTTACTACGGCACGGGGAACCGGCACCCCCAAAATCTCTGTGCTCTTGATAGTTAATGAAGTCTGTAGCGGGGGTGGATAAGGAGACAAACATGTGTTGTCATTCAGCTGAGCCTATTTCTTTACACGGAGTCGATACTCGCAGTAGGGATATGAACAAAAGCAAATCTGTAGTTTTAAGGGTGCCGTCGTAGAGCTCGATAGCAGAATACGGACCTCCTGCAAAGAATGAAAAGAAGATCAAGGTCAACGGAGCTGTAAAGAGATGAACAACATAATATTGTACATCGTAATATTAGTATTATTTATATTCTGCAGAAGACCATTTATGGCAAATGATCGGGGTTTTCGAACAAGCTGGTTCCTGGCTACTCTAGTTTGCAGAACTCTACTGATTTTATTTGTCTGTATTAATGGATGCTTTATCTGCAACCATCAAGTGGGTGCTGTTACGTGCAATCTTCTGCTCAGGACAAAAGGAGATCTCCCAGAGCTACTGGACTGTATTGCACTCTCCAATGGTAAAGAAATTACTTCTAGGGAGAAAATCAAAGGAGAAACTCTGTGTAAGCCTTCCGGTTGGCAGCAAAAAGGGCCAGGTTCACATTTCGGGGTACCCCATAAATTATAGCAGCAGCTCGAGCCCCCACCCAGAAATCAATCTGGGAACGCTAAGTTTGCTGAGGCGGCCCGTATCAACGAAACCCCCCTCCTTGCAAGCAGTGTAAACACGAAAACCCAAATTTATTACAGAAAAGAAAAAAAGAAAACACTAAATATAATTTTAAAACACTATTAACTACAAAATAAAGTCTACAGGTAGCACCTGCCTGGGGAGGCTTCACCTATGATGCCCAGACAATCTGGGACTCGGGGCTCCCCGAAGGGTAGTTCTGGGGGTCTGCACCTGTATCCCTGCCCTTCAGCGATGGGCTGGAGGGGGGAGCCACAGCAGAGAGTGCTAGGGCCTGCTCGAGTGCGGGTCCTTCTGCGTTGCAAAAGGCTTTGTTACTCCTGGAGAAGCGGTAAAGCACCGACCTCCACTTCCACGTGGTGGCTTTGAGGGGTTAACTGCCGTTTTCATCAGTGTACTGCACCCCAAAATCCCTACTCCCGATCCCAGCTCTGCTGGGCAGAAAATTACAAAATACCTCAAAGAAAAGGTCAGGTCTATCTTGGCTTGGGCCCGAACTACCACTAACGCCCAACCACACCGCTTGGTGACAAAAGGAGACCCAGATCTATCTTGCTGGGCCTAAATTGGGCAGCAAAAGCCGGCCAGACCTATACTGCACTGAGGCCCGGATCAATACCAAGAAGTGCCAGGTCTGACCCTGGCTCAAACCATGCCAGGCTTCCCCCTGGCCCGAATCCGCCAGTCAAACATGCTGGGGTGCAGCCACACAGCTAGGCTGAAATGCAAACAGCAAAAAGGGGCCAGGCCTAGGGCTGCAGCCTGGACATCGGGTCCATGAACAACGCGTGCCCCCGGAGGCTGGGGGGCCATGGCGACTGCCCACAGGTGGTGGTGGCAGGGGCATGGTGGCAAGGAGCTGCCATGGGCAGCCATGGCGGTGGCGGGGACAGGTCGAGTGGTGACCACCCACGGACACCGCCAGCGGTGTTGGCGGCGAGGTGGGGTGGCGAGCGGTGACCACCCACAAGTGCTGCCAGCAGCATTGGCGGCACTCTTCTCAGGGGGTGCATGTGCACCCGCATGCATCCCCTATGTGTCGCCAATGATCCAGCCTCAGCTCTAGCACTGTGCTGAGACACTACAATTACAAAAAAGAGGGGACCAAGCGCATGTGGCCAGT